CTTCCCCCACCCCAAGGTACTCGAACCCACCCTCCCCCACCCCACGGTACCCGAACCCAGGGCGGCGCCGCTCACGAGGCGCACTACAAGGAGCACCCTCACGCCAGGGCCGCAGACGAGCACGCCGCCGCCGCCGCCGAGAAGCGGCTCAGCCACATCGCCGCAGCAAAGCTGGCGCCGCCGGCGGCGGAGCTGCCCGCGGCCGCCGCCGCGGCCGCCGCCGCGGCCGCCGCCACGCCGCCCCCGACGCCGCTCTCGGCCGCCGCTGGCACGCCAACGACGACGACGCCTCACCCGATGGCGGCGGACATTGTGACGGCGGGGGTGGTCAACGCGTCCAACGTCGACGACGCTCTCGCCGAGGCGACACGGCTGCGCGCCCTCGCCGCCAAGCTCGAGGAGGAGCACCTCGTGGCGCACCCAGAGCTGCGGCGTGGCGTGCGGCCAGCGACGGCCCCAAAGCTGAGCGGCAGCGAGCTCGAGCAGCTCGAGCGGAAGCGGGAGGGGAAGCGGGAGGCGAAGCGGGAGGGGAAGCGGAAGGTGGCGAGCCCCGCGGCGGCCCCCTTCACTGGAGCCGAGCAGTCGTCGACGGCGGCGGCGGCGCCAGACGGGCGGATCGAGACGCCGCGGGAGCCGGAGCCGGACCCGCTGTCGATGCTGCGCGGCGTCTTTGGGGCGGGGTGGGGGATGATGCTCGGGCTGTGCGCGTGCGTCCTGTACAGGCGCCTCTGCCGCTCGAGCAAACGAAGGCCGGCGTGGGCCGGCAAGTCGTCGCACTCGCGGGTGTGACGCAGCCGGCGGGCGTCGTGAGAGGAGGAGGAGCGCTCCGCCGTTGTGAGGAGGATGTGAGGATGGGGCTGATGGACGTGTGCGAGCTCCGTGTGAGAGATTGCTGGGTGGGGGCGCCGGTCCGACGTGTGCGTGGCATGCGCCGACGCGCGACGAGTAGTCACCGCGCGTGGGGGGACGTGTGTCGTGTGATCGGTAGGCGCGGTCCGCGGTTCTGGTTGGAAGAGAGTGACACCCCGAGCTTCAGGTATCAGGAGATGCGGTGCCAACCGTCGGTGCACGGGCCGACGGGTGCGGGTTGAGGATGTCGTTTCGGACTGGCTGTCGCCGTGTTGGAGCGTGGTTGATTTAAAGAGTTTTGATTTTGATCCCAGGGTGCAGGGAGGTGCTACTCCTAGGTCAGTCCCATGCCCTCCGCGGCGCACCAGGCGGCGCGCCACTGCGCGCGGCTCCGGCCGAGCCGCCCTCGCGCCGCTCCGCCTGCGCAAGTGCCGGGGCGTGCCACGCGGCAAAGTCGGCTCGGAGCTCCTCCTGAGAACCATCGAGCGACGCCTGAAGCTCCTCGACGCGTCGCTTGAGGCTTCGCAAGGCCGACACCTCGTCCCGGTACCCCTCCTTCTCCACGTCTAGCCTTGCTCGAATCGCCTCTTCGTCGGCGGCGCTGCCACCGGCCCCCAGATGAGCAGAAAGTGACTCCTTGAGCCTCGCCACCTGGTCCCGCTTGCGCGTAACGAGCGCGCCGCTCTCCTTGGCTTGGGACACGGCATCGGAGAGCTCCGCTTTGAGGCGCTCGCGCCGCGACCGCGCCGCCTCGCTCCATACCTCCGACCTGAAGAGCGCCAAAGATGCCTCCGGGTCTCGCAGCTGTGCCAAGCTCGGGGGCGCGCGCCGCTCGCCGGCCGAATCCCCAATCTCGCTGCCCTTGGCGGTGGCCGGCGGCGGTGGCGCCTCGCCGAGCAGCGGCGTGGCTGTGCGCCGTAGCGCGTCATCCTCGGCGGCCATGCCGTGGGCATGCCGCATCGAGGCCCACCAAGCACGGAACTCAGCGTCAAACGCGGACTGCGCCGCGCCACAGCTCGCCTGCAAGGCGCCCACGTGCACCTTGAGCTGCTTGAGTTGGTGAGCCTTGGCGCGGTACGCCTCTTTCAAGCCGTGCAACACCCCCGCCAGCCGCGCCTCCTCCTCGTCTACTGCTCCGTCGGCGTCAGCCCCTTCGTCAGCGCCCACTTCGCTCAGCCCCGCGAGGGCGGTCTGCACCCGCCGCGACTCGACCGCCCGCTTGGTCGCTAATCAACCGCCATTAGCCCAGGCTACAGGAGACGGTGACGATGAGGCTTGCAGCACACTTAGGGAATCCCTGCCTTTGCCAGGATCCATTTCTGGCCGCACGATCAGACCAATAGCGTACGAGAAGGACGATGACGATCACGTCAGTTTCGTCGTCGCTGCGGCCAACTTGCGTGCGCGCAACTACGACATCGCCGAGTCTGCTCGCCTCCGGATCAAGCAGATAGCAGGAAAGATACTGCCCGCCCTTGCAACCACAACGGCAGCGGTGAGCGGCCTCGCCTCGCTGGAGCTTCTGAAGCTACTTCAGCCAGACAAGCCGCTCAGCGACTTCCAAAATGGCTTTGTCAATCTCGCGCTGCCCCTACTGGCCTTTTCGGCGCCGCTTGCTGCACCTCGGCATGTGTTTGGTCGGGAGGGCATAACGTGGACCATGTGGGATCACATCATGGTGGACGAGGGCCGTGAGATCACACTCGACGAGCTCCGGCTGCTCTTCTCGCAGAGGTACGGACTCGAGGTCTCGACGGTCGCTTATGGTGCCTCACTTTTCTACGTCGGTGGCCGGGAGGTGGGGCGGCACGGGCTGCCCTTGTCGCAGCTCGCAAATGCACTTCCAGGTTAGTATTCTTGATACGAAACCACGACGACACACACCAGTCGACTCGCATCGGTTGCCTCCACGAACGGCGGAGCTATTCTCGCGTCCACACCACACCTGGCTCCAACGTGGACACACGCCCATAGCTGGGGACACTACTA